TGCCAGGACATTTATTACTCTCTGAACTGTGGTCTCTTGGATTAATTTATCCACCCAACATTCTAATACACATGCTTTAATTACATGACTATTCCAGACTTTTAGAAATCACGTTCTGTGAAACAAAATCCTGGTTTAGGGAGCTCCCATTATTCACTAGCAGAAACAGAAAAGCACCTCAGAATCAGTCTGAGAAGCTGAAGCTTCTGGTTTTGCTGCTGCCATCCAGAACTTGGCTCTCACTGACTCTGTTGTCAGGCTTGGATTAGGAAGTACATCCTAAAGTGCCTGGCAAAGTGAGTTAAACTGTTTCCAGTTTATGTCCAAAAGTCTCTGAAGTTCATACAGAACATGCTTGATCTGATAAATCAGCATCAACAAGTTTGGTTCAGGAAAATATGTACTTCCTCTGTAGTGTTTTAGTGACAAAAGCCTACAGATAAAATGAGTCATACTGACGTTACACTGCACTGTTTATCCCCACCAGTACATGTTTCACCCAGTGCTGGAAAAGGAGTTACTAAAATGGTTTCACTAGACAAATGTGTATCTGCTTTCTTCCTTGTTGCTGCCTTTCGGAGACATTATAAAGCCATCAGATCTGAGAAGTTATTTTTCTGCTGTCAAAACAGTCCAGAATGCACAGTAAGATCGAAATTGTATCTAATGCAAGTTTTGCCACTTTATACCATGTTTGATTTTACAAATATTTGCACGGAAAAAAACCTGTTACGGTTCCTGCATTTTGTAAGTTTCATTTACATGACTGACTAACAGAAAAATAATACCACATAAAAAAGACTCTTGAACTAAGTTGTCTGCCAAACCAAACACTGTGGTCTTAGATATCTGAAATAACTATTCAGAATGCATTCTATAGCTACAACAGACCACGCAATAGAGCTGAAAGAGGGTACACGAACATTTCCAAATGCCAGGTTCTGAAGAGAGCTGTGAAATGTCATCATTCAGTTCACCTCAGTAGACAAAGAAATTCCAGACCTTTGATGACCCCTGCTGAATAAACTAAGCACTGCATTTACATTATAAGTCAAGAGGTACTTGGAAGAATAGTTCAATGTTCACTATCATCAAAAAACCAAAGAAAAGTAATGCAAAAAGGACATACTCTTTTACAACATACCAAAGAAAACAGCTCTTCTACAGCTGGACCTAGCACCAGACCTAAGAGATGTACAAGATAGTGTAATATCTTAAACAGGTTTAATCTACTGAACTCCACTCCCACATCCATTAAAAAACCAAACCAAACCAAACCAAACCAAACCAAACCAAACCAAACCAAACCAAACCAATAAACAAACAAACAAACAAACAAAAAACCAGTCAAGCTATCAATGCTATATTTCTTTTATGACCCAGTGAAGAGGAATCTTTAACCAGTACAGCAATCAGAGAATCCAGACACTTCCTTCACTGTCTGACATTGCTTAGGGCACTGAGAAGGTTCGTACTGTGCCTTTCCACAATAGCTCTTTCTGCAAACACTCTGTGCTAAGCCTGTGTTAAGTTCTTCCGTTTGGAGTCATGTATTAATGATGGGAAGCCCTTCATCAAACCAACCCAATGACTCTGCACTTCTCTGGAGAATAGTTAAGGGAGATGTAGAGCTAGAGAATTACTTATCTCTTTTTTTTTTAAATACACCAATTCCTACAATGACTATGATGACACACAATATAAACTGCTCTTTAAAAGGGCAGCATGATGTAAGTTGTTGCATCACAACAGCCATAAAAAACATTTGGAATTTTTTTTCACCGTGTCTGAAATTGTAAACTAATTTTTAAATATTGTTTTAAAGTAAGAAGTTGGAATGTGTGAATTAATTGCTAACAACTGTTATTTCATTACGGGAATGCACATAAAGTAGAAAGCCTCTAACCTAGACATATATGTAAAAGTTATGTCTGTTTTATAGCTAAGATAAATAATTTATTATAGGTCAGCAATATATGTACAATACAGACCAGCTGTAGACATTTCTCTACCGTTCCTGATCTTCTGGCAGTGGAATCTAGCACTGTGTGGGAGACACAAGATAACTGCAAACTTAGAGCTGAAGTGGAGGACGTTTTTACAACCCAATGAAAGGGGAAGCACTAAATCACCAGAGTTCAGACATAACACTTCTATTAATCAATTATAAAATTTATCAATAATATTCAAACTATTAAACAGACTGAAGAATTTCTTAGTGTAGTGTAACATTTTTTTCCAGGCAATTCTGAGTTTCACACATGGTTTAAATTTCCCATCTCTCTCCTCTCCATCATCTCAGACTTCAGTCTAACAAAGCCAGACAAAGTTATTTCTCACCAGGAATTTCAGAAACATTACAGAAAACAAAGTATTTCTTGTAAAATCATGAGATTAATCAATTTGTTTAGAAAGACTTTCTCCTTCCCAGCAGCTTTTTTCAGGAGATGGAATGCAGGCAGAGCTGGGTAAGCAACCATCCTTGAAGTGGCAAGACAAAAGCATAATTCCCTTCTAACTCTGCTGAACAACAGAATGGGGTGTCAGGACAATAAATTTCCCAACATGTCCTTCTGCTGTGAGGGCCAACTCAAATACAGTCTGTGATACTACACACACACACACACACACACACACACACACACACACACACACACACACATATACATATATGTATAGAGCTGTCATTTGACATTTTAGGTTACAGTTACATGTGATCCAACATGTAATGTGTGTCAAAGAATTGCTACAAGAAAATCCTGCCACTGTTCTGAGGAACAAATAAGTAACAAAGTATGGGTGATGAAGAAACCTCTTCTCACATTTAATGGTTATTTTTCCAAGCTTAATCAGTACAGCGTGTAACTGAGAGCACTGACCTTATAGCTAGCAGTGCTACTAATATAATGAAAGGGGAAAATAAGGGCCTCAGGAAAATACCTTTTCAATCAAAACACAAAACTGTGTTATCATCTGGTCACTAGTTTAGGATACATATACACCACAGAGAATATGCAATCTGCATAATTAATTTACATTGCTAGATATTGGGTTACCTGAGGATGTCTGTGAAATCACTGAAAATACAGATCTTTACAGTTTTTCTCTACTTGTAGAAAAAGGTAAAATACTTCCAGAAATACATAAAACAGAGGGATCCAGACAGTTCTCATCGCTGTCCTCACAAAAATATTTCACCACACTTAAATTAGATAAGCATTGCAGACCAATGCAATGAAATAAGGCCTTGAAGACTGGGTAATCCTCAACAATAAACCCATATATTTAGATTTGTATCTGTATTATATCCACATATAAAAATTTTCTTTTGCATCAAATACACTGTGATCTGACTTATATAGACTGTTACACAAACCAAAAACTGTTTTGAGTTTCTTTGAGAAACAATTTGATTCTTCTAGCAAGAAGATTTAATATTATCTGATTGCTTGACAAGGCAGCCATTACCATGAATAGATGCTAGGTCTCTCTTACAGCAAGAAAGAGTTTTTTTTGTTGTAACTTGACAGTAGGTTTATTGAATTAAATGTGTCTAAGATACAAGGTATTTGTGTTACTTCATATGGCTTGTGTAGATCAATTTTAGTTTTTTTCCTTTGTAGCCTACAGTGAAAAGAATAATAGTGTTCCCTGAATTTCTTTTATAGTGTGCTCTTCTTGGTGAAGCAAAGTAGAATGTAATATTTCAATCATATAGACAATTCCTTTTTCAGAAATTTCTGGAGAATCACAAATCGCAAACCCATTATTTTTGCAAATGGAGATCTACTTATCTTACTAATTGCCAACCTTCAGGGCAGTGTGAAGGATCTGTAGGTGTAAGAAATTTCTCTGCCTGATCTCGCAAACTGAAAAGGACACTGTTGGGCTAAAACCTGTATTTTAAAATATCTTTTATAGAAAACTTCCATGAAAAAAATAAACCTTTTATGTAGACCCATTTTTGATGGGTCTCTCTTTTTTCTTTTTTTTTTCAATTATAACAATAAAAGCAGACAATGCAGACTCATTTTTGGGCGCATTCATTTTACATGCTGTCTCATGGTATTACTTGTGGATATTGTGGCATTGATCTGAAATCTCACGCAGGAATGTGCTTACTTTCAATGCACTCTACTGTTTGTAATGTTTGCAAACATTTAAAAACATTAAATACAACTTATAATTACTCTCCATACATTAATGCAGATTTTTTCACAAGAGTAATTAATTATCCTTTACTAACAAAGAGAGAAAGATTCTTTTTCACTATTGTGATATATTTCATCCTAACTTATTACCCTAATCCCCCACATTTTTTGGTATCAGTTTCTACTGTTGAATGTATAAAACTTGTACAGAGTACTTAAAAATTATAAGAAAATATTATTGAAAAAATATAATAATTAGAGGTTGGCTACAGTAGCTGCTTTTAGTACACAAAATTACTTCATGCGTTTTCCCTTCTTCCCCTTCTTTTTAAAGCTTGCTCCCTCTCATGCCTTTCTTAAAGTATCTGGAATTTTTTCACATACTACCTAGATGAGGTTCTGACAAGGTTCTGACAAGGCAGACAAGCAATGCAACTAAATGCATTTTGAGGTATCATGATAAGATCACGATGATGTTTTTTTTTCCTTATTGTCAGCTGCAACATTCTGCTTGCAGCTCCAGGACAAAATCAAAAGTCAGTTGCAAGTCATTCCAAACAGATACAGTAAATATGCATATGCAAAACAAAACAGATGAGGTTATTGCTTACGCAAAAGGCACCTTAATACTCACATGCAACATTCTTGGAATACAGATAATAAATGGTCTTGTAGATGTCTAGGACACTGTTATTATACACACCAGTGAGAGATCATCAAGTATGTGTTTTCATCAGATTTTAAGTCAGTGACTTCTATATATTATCTAAACGTTTTTCAGAAATCCACTTTGAAATTTGATGAGATTTTTTTTTTTTCTGAAGAAAAAACACTCCAGAGATGCAGAGCAATATTCCAGGTAGGTGTTTATTTGTACAGGAATTTCTTGCAGAACAGGGACATGCTATTCCTTTGCAGGGACTGGACAACCTGGACCTGCAGATTACAGTTACTTTAACAATCTTGGACCATCCTTGAACAAGCAGAATAAGGAAAAATGAACCATTGTACAAGTACAACTAGACACTATGCAGGATATGAGAACCACTATATCAGCAAGCTCTGACCAAGCACTTGCAGCATGACAGCAAATCAACCAGTAACATGTATGCGTGATTTCAGCCAGTTAGCCAATGAGTGTTAGATAATTGCTGTGTGAACAAAGCATAGAAATATATGTATGATAAGTTTGTTAATAAAATTTATAGAACGGCATGAAGCCTTATTGGTGTGATTGTTGTTACTCAGCCAGCTCTCCGTGGGACCCTCTTAATTTATTTTTTAAGTTGGATAAGGTCTTGAGCAACCTGGTTGCGTGGAAGGGAGATTGTGACTAGATGATCTTTAAGGCCTCTTGCAACCCTTAACATTCTGTGATTCTATGATTTTGTGATTTAAAAAAAAGATCTGGATTCAACCTTAAACATGCATAAATCATTCAGTATGTATAACAATGCTTTAAAATATCAGTTGCTACCATTCAGGTTAGTTTTCATGAAGTGTAAACTTACAAATATATGGTAGACTGTAAGCCTAGCTGGAGAATTCACTACAGACCTACAGACTGCAGAATAACCCATATGCTATAGGATTGCTGATGTACATTTATCAGTATTAATTTGTATAAATTTGACCTGCAAAAGGACAAAAGAATGTGAAGATGTGAAGACAAGGTACATCTCATGTGTGAGACTTCAAACACCTTGTTTGAACCTCCCATTAAAAAAATTTTCTCAATGAAAAAGTAATGTCCTAGATTTTAGGAAAAACAAAAAAAAAAAAACCAAACCAAACCAAGACAAAAAATTTAGAGATATCTGTGTCTTCTGAAGGCCAAAGGTGAGGTGCAAAAAGCGTAAAAAAAAGCAATGATATACTAATACGATTGTTTTCTTCCACCCTGCATAGAATACAACTGGATCCCAAATGACTTCACCATTTTTTCTTCAAGAAGAGTGAAAATTTACTTCTTCATTCTTGCTCCTCTTTCCTCTGGTCTCCCTTGAGGGAAAAAGGACCTTTTAATTTAGACATTACTATTATCACTTATGTTTTTCAGACCAACTTTTTAACAATTTTAGAACTTTAAAAAATTTTAACAATTTTATTTAAATGGCTGGAGAAAGGAACCAACAGGAATCTCATGCAGTTTAACAAAAGGAGATTCCAAACACTGTACCTGGGGAGGAAAAACCGCATGAAACAACAGCAGCTCAACCAGAAAGGCCCAGGAGGATCACGGGGCAGTGGTGAGTGCCCCAAATCCCTGCCAGGCTCACTGGGGGTGCTGCCAGCGGGGCACGGAGGGATCCTGCCCTCTCCCCTGCCCGTGAGGCACACCTGGAGTGCTGTGCCTGTCTGGGCTCTCCAGCCCACCAGAGATGCGGAGCTACCGGGAAGAGCCCAGGGAAGGGCCACAAACACGGTGAAGGAACAGGAGTGTCTGTCCCGTGAGGGAAAGCTGAGAGAGCTGGGTCGGTTCAGCCTGGAAAATACACAGCAGCACCAGACTCACCACAACACCTGACAAACTGAGGGGTTTAAGGCCACCGAAAGACTCTGACACGCCGTGGAGCGGAGTCTTTTCCTCGGGGCTGTTTGTCGTGCTCACCAGGCAACAGCCACAGGCTCCTGCACTCGCACGCTCAGCCCGGCCTTCAGCAGGACCCAGCCATGCCCTGGCAGCGCCCCAAGCAGCACTGAGGGCTCCCAGCCCCACAGCGGCACTGAGGGCTCCCAGCCCCACAGCGGCACTGAGGGCTCCCAGCCCCACAGCGGCACTGAGGGCTCCCAGCCCCCCAGGGGCACTGAGGGCTCCCAGCCCCACAGGGGCACTGAGCGCTCCCAGCCCCACAGCGGCACTGAGGGCTCCCAGCCCCACAGCGGCACTGAGGGCTCCCCAGCCCCACAGCGGCACTGAGCGCTCCCAGCCCCACAGCGGCACTGAGGGCTCCCAGCCCCACAGGGGCACTGAGGGCTCCCAGCCCCACAGCGGCACTGAGGGCTCCCAGCCCCACAGCGGCACTGAGCGCTCCCAGCCCCACAGGGGCACTGAGGGCTCCCAGCCCCACAGGGGCACTGAGGGCTCCCAGCCCCACAGCGGCACTGAGCGCTCCCAGCCCCACAGGGGCACTGAGCGCTCCCAGCCCCACAGCGGCACTGAGGGCTCCCAGCCCCACAGGGGCACTGAGGGCTCCCAGCCCCACAGTGGTACTGAGGGCTCCCAGCCCCACAGCGGCACTGAGGGCTCCCAGCCCCACAGGGGCACTGAGGGCTCCCAGCCCCACAGGGGCACTGAGGGCTCCCAGCCCCACAGTGGTACTGAGGGCTCCCAGCCCCACAGCGGCACTGAGGGCTCCCAGCCTCACAGGACCACTGAGGGCTCCCAGCCCCACAGCGGCACTGAGGGCTCCCAGCCTCACAGGACCACTGAGGGCTCCCAGCCCCACAGCGGCACTGAGCGCTCCCAGCCCCACGGCGGCACTGAGCGCTCCCAGCCCCACAGCGGCACTGAGGGCTCCCAGCCCCACAGCGGCACTGAGGGCTCCCAGCCCCACAGGGGCACTGAGGGCTCCCAGCCCCACAGCGGCACTGAGCGCTCCCAGCCCCACAGGGGCACTGAGCGCTCCCAGCCCCACAGCGGCACTGAGGGCTCCCAGCCCCACAGGGGCACTGAGGGCTCCCAGCCCCACAGTGGTACTGAGGGCTCCCAGCCCCACAGCGGCACTGAGGGCTCCCAGCCCCACAGGGGCACTGAGGGCTCCCAGCCCCACAGGGGCACTGAGGGCTCCCAGCCCCACAGTGGTACTGAGGGCTCCCAGCCCCACAGCGGCACTGAGGGCTCCCAGCCTCACAGGACCACTGAGGGCTCCCAGCCCCACAGCGGCACTGAGGGCTCCCAGCCTCACAGGACCACTGAGGGCTCCCAGCCCCACAGCGGCACTGAGCGCTCCCAGCCCCACGGCGGCACTGAGGGCTCCCAGCCCCACAGCGGCACTGAGGACTCCCAGCCTCACAGGACCACTGAGGGCTCCCAGCCACTTGTCCCGGGCCGCCTCCCGCAGGTACCCTGAGCCCCACAGGCGGGGAGGAGCAGCGCGGAAGGGAGATTCCTCCCGGAATGGGGGCAGCATGCCTGGGGGAACGGAGGGGGAAGCAGGTGTCCAAGGCAGCTGAGGGCGGCTCGGTCACTTTCCAGTAAAGTCTCCTTTTCCTGCAAGGAGACCCGTCAAGAGGCCCCCGTCTCCCCTCCCTGCCCACGCTCGGGGCCTTCTCTGCTGCCCGGCTCCCGGCGCAGGGCAGCGCCGGCACCGGGCCCGTCTCTGGGCAGCCCATGGCGCGCGGAGCCGCCGAGGCTCTGCCCGACAGCGGCTCCGCCGCGCCGGCCGCCACGAGCGGGGGGCAGCGGGAGGCGGCGGCGGCCGGGCCGTGCCCCATCTGCCTGGGCGACGTGGACAACGCGGCGCACGTGGACACCTGCCTGCACACCTTCTGCTTCGCCTGCATCCGGCAGTGGGCCGCCGTGCACGCCGCCTGCCCGCTCTGCCGGCAGCGCTTCGGCCGCATCCTGCACACGGTCAGGGCGGACGACGACTACCAGGAGTTGGTGCTCGGCCCGCCCGGCTGCCAGCAGAGCCCCGCGGCCGCGCACGGCGAGCTCGGCGCATCCCCGCGCTGGCGCTACCAGCTGCGCCCGCGGCCCCACCGCCGGCCCGCGGCCAGGAGAAGGGGGCGGCCGCCAGGGCACGGAGCGAGAACTCCGAGAGCCTCTGACACCTCTGCCCCATAGGCTGCAGCGCAGAGCTCAGCCCGCCCTGCCGGGGGACCTGCCGTCCTGGGGGCACGGCTTTCGGCCCTCATGCGCCCGGCGTGAACATCAGAGGCTTTCCGGAGAGCGCCTCGCTCACAGCGCCTTCGTATACTGCACGTGAATGCACGAATTCGATGGAGGTGTTATTTTATCTCTGTCTCTCTTTTTCATTACTATTATTATTATTCCTAATAGTATTGTTATTTTTTAAATTATTAAAGTGTTCTTATCTCAATCCAAAAGGTTTATTATTTTTTTCCCCAATACTCCTCCTCAGTAAGGAGGGGGTGATATATGGGTGAATGGATCTCAGTTCCTGGCTGGTGCTCCCCAGCTGGAAGAACCTCAGCTTTCAGTGGTGCTGGAAAATCATTGGCTTTGTGGACACTGAACAAAGATTCAGAAGCTTTTCAGAGCATGATTCTCTCAAAACCAAATGAAGCCACTTCAAGCAATGCTTTCTAACAGTGCCTTGTTAGTGTAGGAAAACAAAAGGGGAGAATGCCTGGAACGTGCTGTGAACTTCTTTATATAAATGCTGCAACAGAGCCTCTTTCACTTGAACTGCGAAGCCTTCCCCCTCCAAGCACCAGAGCATCGCTGCCTGTAGCAGTGGGGAACAAACCGACACTGACTCCCTTTATGCATCCGAAGAAGATCACTTTATCGTAAAAATCGGCCTCTTTTCATACCTTCAGTCTCTACCTGCCGTGACTGAAACCGAACCAAGACTGAACAGAACAGGAAGAAGGCACCCATTGGCTGGCTCAGCTGCTGTGCTCCTACCACACGTCCTAGCACCCAATCAGCTTCCTGGCCGTACGCTGTGCGCGCGTTTCTCCAGCCAATCACAACCTGACTTGCAGCCGTCACTCAGCTGCCCTCTCCGCGCTGCCCCTCAGCGCTCGGTGGGCTCCAAGGGCCGGCGGGCGGCTGCGCCTCTTCATAGCGCTGCTGTGAGCGTGAGCATTAACCACGTCTGCACCTCTAACCCCTTTCCTACAGCTGCCAGAATGCCTGACCTGAGGCAAAGCCAGGCCCATGGACACAGGCCACGCTGACAACCCTCTCCCTCCTGGTGCCTCCACACCCAAATGGATTCGGTCATCCCCTTCTGAGCCCTCTGACCCTTGTCTGACGCTTCTGTACAGCAGCAGCTCAACTCCTCCAGCCCGAACCTGGCTGAAATGCAGGAGAGGGCTCGGTTCAGGCTTCACAAAAGGTTCGGCTGGGTACCATCTGCTGACCTGCACACCTTGGCTTGGCGTTTTTTGCAGAGCAAAGCTCAAAGCTCCAAGCATCCCAGGACTTCAGTAACTGCCCAAGAAGCAGACTGGCATGTAAGCAAAGCATATCTGTGCCCAGGGCCAAAACATCGGTTTCCCACCCCTCGCTATCTCTGAGTCTTACTGGGCCCATCCTAGTCCCCCACTTTCAATCTTTTCCCCAGATACACCAGCACCATATTTGAGTATTTCCACAAGCTGCACAACAATCCCCTTCTGCTGTGCTGGGGCTGCCCCACAGACTCTTATCCCACATCCCACATGTGTCCCCAGCCCAGCTGGCAGACTTCCCACAGCCAGTGAGGCCTCTGTGCTACATTCCTATGGGATCCATCTCCACTTGGCAGGGAAGGACCTGGGGATCCTGGGGGCATCAACATAAAAATTACACTGGTGATGTGTCCTGTGGCCAAAAGGCAAAGAGGCTCCTGGGGGCACTGGGAGTGCTGCCAGCAGGACAGGGAGGGATCTCACCCTCTCAACCCTCTTCTCTGCCTGAAGAAATGTACAAAATTCCAGACAAACACAAGATGAAACTTTTTACTGAGTTGGTGTTCATAGTCTGGGATATTGTTGAATGAGTTGTCTGTACATTTAATCGCCATCTTTAGCCTTCAATACCTTGGAAGCAGAAGGTAATCTTCTTCCCTCTACCTGTTCCCTATGTACTTAGTTGTGCAAAATTAACTAGTTAAAATAAGGCAGGGACCAACTACTAGGCCTCTTACACTTCTAACAACAGCTGTGATTAAGTTATCACTAAGTACAGATTATCTTATATAAAATATGGATGAAAAATGCATTAAAATAGCATGAAGCCAGATTACTTGGATGGTGTATTGTCTCTAAGTCAATGTTGTTGAGCCTCTGTATCTAATTCTGTGTGGGACTCAGCACAAGTTCATGTCTTTGCAGAAAAATCTAGAAATTGACTTGCACGCATCCACCTTCCACAGTCGCCCTAATGCTACAATGTCTGGGCAGAAAAACTTTGTATGCAATTTAACACAGGAAAGTAATAAAATTACAATTTTGTGCTTTAGGCAAGTCAAAAGTTATTTTTGCTTTTAATTCAGGAACTCTAACGCAATTATACAATTAGATACTGTTTTCAAGTTTAAAATAGCTGGTGATCTCTGTATGAGGACCCAAAACTAATTTCTTCCAAGTGAATTTTATGAAGTATCAGAAGAGGGAAAAAAAAAAAAAATCAATGCCCAGAATTTGTTTGAAGTGATAAGTTTTGTTTTTGAAAATTGGAACCCCTCCGTATAGTTAAAAGATCAGGAGAAGGCATGAAATATTAAGTGTAGCAGATTAGATAACAGACAAGATAATTGCAGAGCATTAAAGGCTCAGATTTATTTTTAAGACATTCAAGCTCTATTTAGCTTTTTGTTAACTTTTGTGAATCTAAAAAGAATTATCCTAACATGAACAATAATGGGACTAATGGTGTTAAAGTATGATCATTTCCTATTTCAAAGCTGCCCATACAGTAACTGGCCACAGAGTGTTCCTGCAGCACAAATAGAAGATTGCAAGACTAGAGGAGTCATAATGCAGCAAAACCTCAATATGCCACAAAAAGAAATTTGTTGTGCTCTGTGCTGGGGTAAGTGACAAGTCCTGAATTTTCCCACTGAGCTACCATGCACAGGGAAGTTGAGCACACTTCCTC